GCCTGCCTCTCGCCCAGCGGATTGGGGTCACTTCCCAGCTCCGGGGAGAGGACAAGCCGCTGGGTGGGAAAAGCTGATGCGAGTGTAACTAACTGCCTTTCGCCTGCAGCCACGTTTACGATCCGATTTCTTTCCTAGATTACGTGGATCCAGCAGTATTCTACTCTGTGATCCGGATCTTCCTCTCCGGGTGAGTCGGCGCGTTTCCCTCCAAAGCGAAATGCCGGCAGTTTCGGCGGGAGGGGAGGAGCGGGAAGGGGCAGCGCGGGGCTCCCAGTGCCGGACGAGGAGCGGGGCAGGAGGGCTCCGGTCTGCGTCCCCTCCCTCCGCTCGGGCCCTTGTTGACCCTCTCCCGCCTCCCTGGTCTCCGCGCGGAAGCAGCCGTAGCCGCGCAGAGAGGAATCATTACTTCTCTGGGCTCCAAGAGTTCGCACAGCAGCAGACCAATTTCTCTTTGCTTCGTACACGGCACGCACAAAGCAACGGGGCTGAGCACAGGCTCTTCCCTCGAGTGCTGTTCTCTAAGGAAACATCTATAAAAAGCCTCTTGCGTTGTTTTGCTGCAATTCCATTAATTAAAAACACATTTCCCCCAAATGCTCAAACTATCAGTTGGGCAAGATAGAAATATGGTAACGAGAGGCCAAAGCTGCAGTTTTGTTATCCTTCATCTGCCCCGTGGGGCTGCAAGCACCCCAAACCGCTCTGCTCTTGGGCTTCTTGGAGAGTTTCTATTTTTACTTCTGTTCAGCATATCTCAGCATTCCTAAGTCAAAAGGCTCCATGCGTCCTGATTAGCTTTCTTTCATTCTTTATCCAAGCTGACCTTGTCTTGATGGTCATCAGCCTGGAAAAACGTGCCTTTTAAATTCCCTTCTGCTTATAAGAACTTCCCACTAGTAAAGGTTACTATAAATACATTCCTAGGACAGCTAAAAATAATAAGGAATTTGATAATAAAGCTATTTTCACTTTGTGCAAAATCTTCTCCTGCAGTTAAACAGCCTTAGCAGCCAGTACTGAAAGTGTCACGAAACGGTGCATTCTCCAGGAGATATTTTTGTGCCAGGCACATTATCTCTCTAAAATTATAACTAACTTCTCCTTCCATTTGTGAGAGAACATTTATCCGGTTTTGCACAACAGGCGCCTAAACCAGGATGACACAGACTGAATCAGCGTGGTACAGAGAGGGGGAGGCGAGAAACGCTGCCCCGGTCCTGGGCTCGCTGAACACTGGCGTCTTTTATGAGAGGGAGGAAATCACATTACCGTGTTGTCCTCACCCCACGCTGCCTTTAAAGGCATCACCTAAAGGGTAACAAGAACAGAGGCAAACCCAACGCGCAAACTTTTGGGGCTCCGATGAGCAGCTTGCCCGGCGTCGGCCGCAGGCGGACTCTCAGCATGCAGGAATCCAAGAGCCTTTTGCTCACGGGCAAAAGATAACGAGGAATTTCTTGTTACCCCCCCTGGCCTTTGCCAACAGCTTCCCCGGAAGCTAGCAGCTTGGCTCCAGGCTCCCGGGTGGCCCCGAGCC